GCTTCCACTTTTTTCCATACTAATAGAAATTTGCTTTACCGTAACTGGTAACTGACATTCGAAATAGTAATACGTAGTTTATTGAGAGATTGCGTTTACGTCATCAACATAGTCGGTTCGACGCGATGTTTCGTCCGATGTTACAATATTCTACAATCACCTGACCATTTGAACGTCTAATTAAAGGATGGAACTGACTAACGTGCCACCGAACGACATGGTCTAGAGGTTTAGTCCATTGCTTAGCAGTTGGTAGGACGCCGGTTCGATTCCGGGTCTGTTTGCCTTGGTCCAAGTTTTTCTGTGGTTTCCGTGGATCACTTAGGCAAATGTTGAAGCAGTAATATTCCATAGATAATCTTTCATTCTCTTCTGTCTTCATTTCGTCCGTCTCATCTTTCTCACCCGAACCACCACCCACCCATTCGCACGATTCCTGAAAGGAAACTGAAGAGGGCCTTCCGCTCTACCTTCCGGTGTATTCCGGAGGGACTGCCCGCCCACCAGCATCAGTGACTGATAGGAATGAAACACCCAAAAGGTTTTTTTTTATTAACGTGCCTGGAGTTTTCGATATCTGCGATACTATCGTTTTATTGAAATTTTTGATAAAAAATCGCGAATATTTTGACGTATACTGTGCGCTAGGGGTGCCTGTGTGTAATATCATTATTTTCTATGCTTGAAGTATAATTATTTCTTTTGCATGCATTGGACTCAGTCTTCTTTGCTAGTTGTTATTTGATATTCTTCACCATAACCATTACAGCAATCTTCATTTTCTGGAAATAATCCACATCCGAATCATCATAGTGTACCTCTAGATCAACCAATTCATCAGATACGCCATCATCAGCTGCTATTCTTCTTGAACGAGTCCGTTTTATGTGAACTGTTGACATAGAAACTCTTTGCTTTCTGTTTTCAACTTTTATTTTGTTTTGAGGTTTGCGACTTCTTTCTTGCAGGTTTTCAGGCGATGTCAAAATGGTACCAATGCATTTCTACCCCTTTTGCGAACATTTTCCATTTTGGTCACTTGGGGAACTGAATTAGGTCTTTTCAGGCCTAAGTTCGTCCGTAATCTCATTTGAATTAATCAGTAAATCAGGGTCATCTCTATAACACCCAATTTATCCTATGTACCGGGGATAAGTTCTATCCAAGAAAGATTTAGGTTAGATTATTGTATGGGAGGTCATCACGAGTGCAAAATGTAACTGTTATTATGCCCCATGAACAACAGCACCATCTCCGTCCAAGTTTGGACAGATTCAACTAGTACATATCTTAATTGCGTTACTGCGGATTCCAGGATGATATTCATTAAAATATTTTCGCTCTCGATTCGGAAAAATAAACTTTTGGGCATCTCCTACAAAATTTTATTGACTAATTATAGCTACGTATATATAGCATACAATGAGTTCATTTTGATACAATGATTACATCTATCCTTTTCATTGGTTAATAATATTCTACTGTATTCTAGTCTTTGTAAAACACCTGTGTGTCATAAATATGCACGAATTTCCGAACCGTAACGCATGGTCTGTGTCCATTCTGTATAGGGTTTCTTATATTAGGGAGGTTTTAAAGTATACATCAAACAAACATTAACTCTTTGGAAATATTACGTTAGCTTCCGGTGTTAACGAAGTTTTGGACAAATCGTGTTAACTGTTTCCGCTATAGGTACTACCACTGATGATTCCGCAATCAATTATTGTACACAAAAATATCATCGGAATACAGAAATAATTATAACTGATTGCCAAAGAGGACAATGTCGTCTCCGCCTCCTATATGCACTAATCGTTTAGGTACGAAAGAAGCCTTTTGCAAACACTGTCGCTACACCTTTTGATTGATGCATTAGCGAGCCTTTAATGCCTGAGGTTCGAAAGTGTAACACGACGTGTTGCTTCATCGGCCGTTTTCCCAGCAAAAATGACTCTAATAGCGCATATAATTATTGCAGGTAGATATAGGTAGAAATAGAAATGGGACCGTTCATTCTGAAAGGTACCTTTATCTACAATGTTTACCCTCGACCTGTAGATATAGGTACAAGTAGCACAAAAAAGGGGTGAATTGTCAATAGGCGCACCATCAGTAGAGTGGTCCTTTTTCTTTTTGGAGCAGTAGTTAGACGCAGATGGAGAGATGTTTCTGTGTAACTACAACTGTTTTACCCACTTTTAATGAATGCTCTTGAATAGGTACCTACATCTAAAGGTATTTATTCGGGCTAAGAAATGACCCGGAATTTTTTATTTCCCTAAGTGAGACGCATTTTTCATGAAAATTTAAAGACGACCGGTAGTGACTAATCTAAAGCTATTAGAGAGGATTATAGAAGAATATTTAGGGATCGATATGCTGTGAAAGATATGTATGTAAAGTACAAAATTTGGATCATCTTTTTTGACAGTCGTATTTCACAAAAATGCTTTCTACAAAACAAGACACAACATTGGAGATAAAATTTATTACAACAATTAATACGAAAAGCCAATAAACTTGTACAAAACATATTTTAAAAGTCGAACTTCTTTTATTAAGGTATCCCATATATATTATTAAGTTTTTAGTATAGAATAAGAATGCCTTTTGAAAATCTCAAAAAGGTACAACAATTTGAGTTAGTACATCCCAAAAATAATTAGATACGTTTTTACGAAATCGACTGGCTATTAATTTGACCCTATTTATCGGCAAATACAAGACAGATAAATTGAGTGGAATATTGAAAGGTAAGAACTAACCAAAACAGCAGTTAATCGCCTTTTTGCATGTCGCTAAAGAATAATCGACAAAATCTGCCTTTAATGAATGCATTAACGCTATACTTATGTCAGAAAAAGGTAGAATCGGTAGGTGCATTCCCGTATCATATCTAAAGCTTACTATTTATCATCAAGACAGAATAAGGAACGAAAAAATCGATTAAAAAATAATAGCAACAATAACCACCAGTTTATATTATCAATTTAAAAGCATTTGATAATAAATAGCAGTTATTGATATTTTCAATATCTGAAAAGGTTACTATTTTGTAAATTTCAGTTTATTGAGAGGCCAGGTGTTCGAAATGTGTTAGGAATGAACATATATTAACTTTTTTGTGCAGCTTCTGTAAGAGTTAGGTGCACGTTAAGGAGAAAAGCGTGAGTGGAGAGGGTGTCTGGACAAGTTCCGTGTGCAAATTTATTACCGATTCATTGGCTGGACAGCAATTGAAGATGCGAGGGAGAATAGGGGTATGTATGTAACACCTGCACCCATAACGTAGGTAAAACCGGTAAAGCGCAGTAAAAGATTGACGTTTGTTGTGATCGGATTGTTCTTCCGAGTTTCTTTTTAATGCATGTAAAGTTCAGTGCTTAATACCAATGTGAAATTATTGTTATTTAACTTAAACCATATTTAATATAGCGTAAAATTAACTACCTTACATTTGAAATATCGTAAATGTTTCTGTTATTTAAGTATAAGTATAACATGAAAGTGTCTTTCAGGCCTGGCAGATCATGTTCGGCTCGGATGGGTAGTTGACCTTAGGCAATCTGGAGGAATGGGTATAAAAAATGTTAAAATAAAATAATATTGTTGAAACTATTATTATATTACTTAACAATAATAATATTAATTACACAAAGCTCTCTCAATTGTGCAACGTAAAAACTGCAAATCTTTGATTTAAAAAACGGGCTGAATTATTTTCGAATCTACTTTTTAGGAATGAAATAGTTTGATCAAACATCTTAAAGAACTATTTTTTAATAAAATATTTCGGGATCGTGAATTCACATGAATCTACTGTTCCTCGCCCCCCAGATTGAAACATTTCTGAACTTTGATGGAATTTCGGGTTGGTTTAGTTGAAAGACAATTTTTTTATAACATTGGATCACGCAAAGAGATCAGGGTAATTAGACCGAATGTCCTTTCTTAGAGTTCGAATTGCAACATTTTCTACTTTTGCATTATATCGATACGGGATTTTTCCGAAATTTGAACATAAGCCAAATATGGCCCATGTTTAATGCTAAAGATGGTGTTAGCCACCTGTAGAGACATTTCGCCGTACCTATCTAAATTTTGCCGTGTTGACAATGCCTTAAAATATCAACGCGATGCTTTTTTCAATGGGTCTTACAGTGAAACTATCGTTTGAAACGGTTATTTTCAGGGTATGTTGTAAATTTTGGGAAATGTGGGTATATTACCCACCTGGAACTTTTCGTGTAGGTAAAACTACCAACCATATCCAGATTATCTGCCGGGTCTGGTGTCTTTTATATTGAGTGAAAATAAAATACTACATCATGGTTGCATATCATTCCTAACGTTCTCCTTTTAATTGGGTATCTATTTATTACCTGATAAAATTTCATTTACGTGTTTAGTTTAAGTAAGTTGTAATTGAAGAATCTACTCCTTGAAGGCGGACTTAATAAAAATACCGTGTTTAAATAAAGAGGAAAAAGAGAAGCAGGAAGAGAAAACCAACAAGAAACTTCTCTGTTCATCCGAAATATTCTTCAGGATCAGTACAAGAAAATGATGACGATTTTCGCCCTGAGGGTCGGGGTGCATTCGTCCTGACGTCGGAATGCGTTTGAAATAATTCAAGACGCATCAGGATCTACAGGAAAGCACATGCGCGCTCCTTGCGCATCGTCACCGTCGCCATCCCTTACAACATCGGTCGCAAAGAAAAAACCAGATAAAGGGGTAGGGGCACGCGATCTCCGCGCACATAGAACATACTTCGATTTTTAACCAAAAAGAATATATCTTAGGATTTCGCCTCAGTATTGGTCGCCGATGCAGTCGTATTACCGACAAAGAGGGACATAGCGTGACCCGCGTGCTGGACAGAAACGGCACGTTCGACTCTTTCGACAGCTCGCCGCTAGTTGGCGCCAACGATCAACAGAGGGGGCGGAGCATTCGCCGACAAAGCGGGATGGAGTCAGCGCCCACTCCACTGCACCATGCGTGCCGTTTCGTGAGTCAGTGTTGGGATGTTCATCCCGACGATTGCAAGGTATGCATAGGTGACTGGATCGTCGGCGTGGTGCGCTCTCGCTACATAGCGGTCAAGTGATCCGATCAAAAACAAACGCCACTTGTTCGTCTTTGGCGATTGGTTCAGGTGTTGAAAGTTTAGTGACTTGTTTTCGTGGCGCGTATATGGACTTTTTTTTTTATTACTTTTGAACAAATAAAACAAAAGTAACGCGAGAAACTTTGGTGGTGGGCAGTGACCGTGTGATTATGATCATGATGATCGAAAACCGAAATACGTTTCGGATTGCGTGAGTGGTTCGATTTTTACGGTGTCACGCAATATTCGAATAGAATTTCTTAAAGAAACGAACGCACACTAAAACAACTCCACTGACACGTATCAAGGTACTTCGTAATGAGGAAACATCGAATCCAACCGTCAGAGAACAAAAAACTAAAACAGCTTATGTCACGAAAGGCAAAAACCAAAGCCGAACTTTGAAAAGTGTAGCAAATCCAAATTAGGCATAAGAACTTAATAAAGGACTGTGTTCTATATTTGGGATGTTGTAGTGAAATCTTTATGGTGATCAGTTTTATGAGAATCATAATAGACCAAGGACGTTACAAGTGATTTTGAGTGATTATTGTATAATGATAATGTTTTTACGGTTGTTGAGGTGATCATAGGGGTGAGCCCTTTGCAATCACGGAGTTCTTAACGAAGACACCCGCTCTCCCCGACTTGGAGGATCGTATCCGTATGCAGCCTACGGCCACGGCTTCCATACCGCCCCCTGCGGATATGGACTTACAGGCGATGCAGTCTATGGATTGGCTCTTCAAGAAAGAAAGAATATATTTGTTGGCGCAATTTTGGCAGCAGGTAGGTTTTTGCTATCATATCCTACTCATAGTCAGGATGAAACGCGAAAAATTACGGAATCACTTGAAGCCTCATCTGGAGAAATTGACCTTTCATTCGAGAGATCAAATTTTAATGATCCAGAAAAATGATCGAATTTCGAAAAGTAGATGATGATCTCAGTTATCATATCTTTACATCTTCAACGAATGAATCCTAGAAGCACAATGTCGAATGATGGTACCTATCTGTTAATCAAGTCCATAAAATGAGATAATCCCGAAAGTCGTAACAAAACAACTTTATTACTTAAGAGAAAATTCTCTGATAATTGGAAGTCGTGTGCTTACAAATTTACCGCACTCTTTGGAGATGCTCTAGTTTCATAACTTGATCGAAAAGTTGACGATATAAGTAGAAACAGGCACGCGATCGGAATTTCTCGTTCTTTTAAAACCGGCCAGTTGTCCATAATGCCTTTCAACTAAGTTCAATATCCCACTTTGGCCAAAAACTCCAATTACTGTCAGTTACAAAGTACAACGAACTTGATAGTCCGGAAGTAGTGTGATAGTGAGAGGGCGATAGGATCTTGCGTGTCAACTATTAATTTTAAAACTAGCCGAAATTATAAGTCGGAAACTGTCGGTCTTCAATTCCAAGAGTATCATTAATATGTCCACTTTTGAAATGGAAACTTTTATGGCACTATCGTCTGTGAGAAAATCGGTTGCGAATACATTTAATAGCCACAACAACTAATCTAGGTCTGGTGATATTTATAACCATACAATTTCATGGTTTAAGGCAATTTATATACCTAGTTAAGAAAAAGCTTCAGAAAGTGTAACCAGAAGATTTAGTCATTTCATGCCTACTCGTGGTTTATTCGGATGACGTGTTTAATATTCAATGAAAAAGGAAACCTTTTACGTTGTTCTTCAGCTCGAATAAATATGGAACAATTTCGGTGTACCAAATCGAGTAATAGCACTCTTTTCGTAGAATTATTAGCCCTACATCATAAGTATGTAAAGATTAATCGTTTTCCGTCCATCAATTCAATTAACAGTCGCATAGGGGCAAGACTTTAAAAAGTGCCTACCTAATATCTTACCGTAAAACTATTCTTCTTAAGCTGGGTCTTTTTACATGGGTTCGACAAACAACGAGAGCAGACGTTTCTGTTAATTTGCCGATTGTTATGGTGCTCCGAAATAGCTCAGAAAGACGTGACATTCCTAGCATTTCATCTCGCGTTCCTTTTTCTTAATTTGTTTGGCGTTCAAACAGCAGCCAGGGTCCGAAGACAGTAGGTGCTAATTTTGTTTTCCGCTCAAGTTCTCTATGTCCCTGATGGTGAGGAGATTAAGAAATGCACCTTTAAATCCTTCGCCAACAGTTCCATAAAAATCTTTCCAAATATGTACTAACAGAATTTACGCGGTCTATACGTTTTTTATGTAAATATAATATTTGGTTACTAATTAGGTAATACTGTAGTAGGTAAACAATAGAATTAGGAATTAGTTATAATAGATACCTGAGATAAAAATGTTCAGTCTCTCAGAGTCTCTCATCGAGTCTTTCCGGTGGCGCTGAGACAGACTGTAGAGAGACTGTCAAAAAAACTGTTTAGCGTCTCTGAACGAGAGACTCGTTTCGCTCATAGAGAGAACCTCATTTCGTTTCCGGTCTCTGAACGAGAGACTCGAATCTCTCAATAAGTGGTGTCTCGATAGACATGGTTAAAATTTTCTAAGTTNATAATAGATACCCGAGATAAAAATGTTCAGTCTCTCAGAGTCTCTCATCGACTCTCTCCGGTGGCGCTGAGACAGACTGTCGAGAGACTGTCAAAAAAACTGTTTAGCGTCTCTGAACTAGAGACGCGAGTCACTCAAAAGAGATCCTCATTTCGTATCCGGTCTCTAAACGAGAAACTCGAAATCTCTCAATAAGTGGTGTCTCGATGGGTAAAATTTTCTAAGTTCAACATATTTCAGAGATCCCAGTCTTTCTACGAGAGACTCGAGTCTCTCAATTTTTCAATTTTATTCATTCAGTCTCTCTGTGAGAGACTCGAATCTCTGAATTAACAATTTTATCGTTCGAGTCTCTCATACAGAGACTGTGAGATTGTGAAAGACTGTGAGAGACGCTCTCAGAGACGCTGAAAGACTCT